CTGGTCCCTGGGAATCACAGCATGTGCCAGGCATGGTGCTGGGATCTTTGCCAAAATCATCTCATTTAATGCTCACTTCAACCCTGGAAACAAAGAATTTTCTTTGTTTTGTGGATGAGGAAGCTAAGTATTAAAGTTAATTGATCTTCCTGAGACTTTGGGGCTCAGGGCTCCAGGTACCTCCAAAACCCAGCAGGCTGTTTTTAGTGTTGGCATAATGACTGCCACAAACTGTGGAAATGGGCAGGGTGAGCCATGCGGTTAGCCAGTGACTAGAAGGGATGCTTTGTGAATACCTGTGTTGTCTTTGAAATTTGTACCTTAAAAGATTCAGGCTCTTCTCTGCCTGTCCCTTTAGCAAATCACTTTTGCATCTATCATCCATGAACCCTTCTGGAATCTAATGAAATATTTAGGTGGTACTATCTTTGAAGATAAATGATTCCCCACTTTATCAGGCACCAAGTAATGTAGTTCTTACTTTTATTTGTCTGGAGTCTACTGCCTTCAATCAATTTATGATCTAGTGAACTGGTGTGAGGTTACCCTGCCCATTGTCTTTATAATTCCAGAGACCTGATTTGTTGAATTATTTAAATGTTTGCATTAAACAAAATTTTTAATCGTTTGAACATTTATCCACTGTGTTAGGCCATCCTTGCATTGCTATAAAGAAATACCTGAGGCTGGGTCATTTATAAAGAAAAGAGGTTTCATTGACTCATGGTTCTGCACGTTGTACAGGAAGCATGGTGCCAGCATCTGCTAAGCTCCTATGGAGGCCTCAAGGAGCTTTGACTCATGACAGGAGGCAAAGCGAAAGCAGTCATCTTGCATGGGAGAGCAAGAGCAAGACAGTGGGTGAAGGGGAGGTGCCACACACTTTTAAATAATCAGATCTTGTGAGAACTCACTCACTATTCGTGAAGACATCTCCAAGCCATGAGGGTTTCACCCCTATGACCTAAACACCTCCTGCCAGACCCCATCTCCAGCATTGGGGATTACAATTCAACATGAGATTTGGTCAGGAACATATATCCAAATTATGTCACCCACAACTAAACTTTAGTTATTGATATTATCATCCTAATAATTGGTGGTGAATTCTAGTAATTGCCAGACCTCCGCCTACATAATTGTTCCCAGAATTATAAAAAGGTATACATATTTATCACCCTGCATGATAAAATACAAAGAGAAACAAAATGAGCATTTTAGTACAGGGGCTATGAAAATTATTATAGCCTCAGCATCCAGAAACCAAATGATATAGATGGCCAAACAAGATGAATCAGGCTTTGGACAAAATCAAAATTTGAGCAGAAATTGCAAATGTAACCAGCAGTACTGAGAGTATAAGTTTTCAGCTTTCCAATTCACGCTATCATCAGAGGCACCATCCCTGAGACAGAAGCAACTCCTCAAAGGATGAACGCTTACCATATTTTTCAACCAGGTCTCTTTTACAAATGCAGAACATGACCGTCACTTGTGGTATGTCCATACACAAGCTTTTCTGCATTAGCACACAGATATCCTTTCCAATTTAGAAAGTTGCCATATGCTTGGATCAAAATGTGCTATTCACGATCACTTTGAATCATTTAACATGAAAGGGAGCTATTAGCTCTTCAGCCGTTTCCCTCTGCAGTAGCATTACTAGGACTTGGCAGATAAGGACTCTTATTCCATGTGCCCATCCTCTCAGGAACAGTAGATGGGGGCCCTTAAATCTAGACATCGCAGACTCACCAGGCAAGAAGCTCGACTTCCCCCAGCATTACTGAATGAGAAACGTTGCTGAAACATCTGCCTTCCTGCATTTTCTAAAACGCACTCACAATGGAAGGAGCTGCTTCCACACACTCACAGTGGAAGGAGCTGCAAGTGAGTGTGCAGTGGGGAGGGCAGTGGAGACAGGTGTCTTGAAGACCGAGCCCCTTACTGTTCTCTGTCTCCCCTGTTGAGGCTGCAAGGGCAGAGCAGGTCTTCTGCTGAATCAGCTTGAGGGGAGCATCCACAGGGAACACCCATGAGAGGAGAAAGAAGGGAGCGTCAAAGGCAGCCTGCGTGGATTCTCAGAGCATGGGGAGGACTGTAGCCAGATCTGTGGCTCTGCTTTCTTTTTAAGAGAGTGTGTGATTCAGTTTCTAAGGTGACTAGTCGCCCTCGTGTGAAATGATAGACTCAGTTTCGTGCAGACCATTGATCATGTCTACGGTCATGAAAGAAAGTGTCTGTCTTTTTTCCTTTCATCCCTGAGTTTGAACTTCAGCCTCTAGGGCTGCCCATGGACCCTACATAGGTCATTTCTCCCAGCCCCCAACAACGGGAGCCAGAAAGCCAAAATATGAAAGATGGTGACCTCAGCAGAAATTGTAGCTTCCCCCTCCCACACCAACGCTTTCCAACGCCAAGATCCTTGCTCTAAGTAGCAGTGGGAATAGGAGAGGAACAGAGACTTTGGGCTAAAACATAAACATATTACCATGAACTTTAAAAGACATGATGACAGGAGGATTTGTAATAAAATGTGATCTGTTGTGTGTCACTTTAATCATGTAGACAGTAGACATGCACTTTTTTTTTTTTTTTTTTTTTGAGAGGGAGTCGCTCTGCTGCCCAGGCTGGAGTGCAATGGTGCAATCTTGGCTCACTGCAAACTCTGCCTCCTGAGGTTCAAGGGATTCTCCTGCCTAACCTTCTCAAGAAGCTGGGATTACAGGCATCCACCACCATGCCCAGCTAATTTTCATATTTCAGTAGAGATCGGGTTTCACTACATAGGTCAAGCTGGTCTCAAACTCCTGACCTCAAATGATCTGTCCACCTTGGCCTCCTAAAGTGCTGGGATTACAGGCGTGAGCCACCGCACCTGGCAGACATGCACTTTTTAACTCCTAAATGAGGACTCTTTTTAGTAGAATGGAAGAACTTAAAGGTCTAAGGGAGATGTTTCAAGAGCTAAAAGTAGAAGGAAATCTTTCAAAGTGTAAAGTCAGGAGAGAAAACCCAACGACCTCAAAAAGAAAGACTTCTTAGAGAATGTTTTAAAGAAAAATGGTAAAAATGCAAGACCAAGCAATTCCTTAAATAAGAGACATAGACAAACCAATGTCAAATTAAAAGAATAATAAAACACCACTATATCTCATTACAAAATATTTTAAAATGCAAGCAATGTTCCATTTTGCCCTGGATTCACGGAATCACAAAAAATACTGACAGGAGTATAAATTGGATCAACTTCCTGGGGCAGAAATATGCTGATATATCAAAATATTGAAAATATTTACACATTTAGATCAGAAAATAGATTGTGAGAAGGTTATCCTAAGAAAATTACCAGATAGGTAGCCAGGGTTATGTTCATTGTTGTTCTGTAGAGCATTGTTTGTAGTTGTGACAAAGTGAAAGCAACCCAGAGTCCAACAACAGGTGCTGAGCTAACCGAATTATAATACAGTGTTAGGAGTACTCTGTGCTACCAAAACCCTTCTTGTAGATAAGTATTTACTAATATGAAATACACTAAGTACAACGATATTGTAAAATAACGTATACATTATGAATCCAATTATGTAAAAATCAATACACGCAAAACTATTAATTATGATATTTGTATGCTGGGAGCATTATGGGGATTTGTGTTTTCCTGTTTTTTTCCCCCAACTTTTCTATATACTCAGAAAAGAGTTTTTTGGTTTGGTTGTGGTTTGTGTACATGTCGGGAGCAGAGGCAGGTGCTAAGGTGTCTAACTCAAGTCTAAGGTGGGTTGCTGAGCCTGACTTATCAGTGAAGGAGGAGATTTAGAGGCCAGTTTACCAGACTATGAAAGAAGGAGTAAATTGATGCTTGCAACGGATTCCCTCCTTGTGAGTCTGAGTGGAAAAAAAGTAGCTTCCAAACCAAGTGCTTCTAAGGTCTTTTTCTAATCCCCTTTTCAAAAACTTCTAATTTTATCTGGACCTGAAAGCTGGGGTCAAAGCAGTTCCACTTAATCTGTAAAAACTGAGATTCTTATGGACTCTGCCACTTACCCAAGCAGAATTGTGTTTGGGAGCAGTGATTTTTAAGTGTTTTCACTTTTTTCTGTTCACTGAGTAGGGGTAACACCATGACCCAGGGAGGCAGCAGCGCTCTGAAGGCAGCAGATTGTGGTGGGTGGCTTGACTGACAGGCCATCCACGCATCCCCAGCACAGGGGGGGCCCCAGAGCCCACCACGGAGGGCCCTGAACAGGCGCATCCATAAAATCCATTTGCATTTTCTGGTGTGATGGGACTGCATAAACAACTGGCCTTAGACGTCTTTTTAAATTTTATTTTTTATTCCTTTTTGTTATTTTATCAAGAAGTAAATAATCACTACTTAGCCTTAAAGCTTTAGTGTCCTCTATGTAGCTCTGACATCTCTGTTTTCAGCCAGGAGGGCTGGCCCTTGAGCAGATGCAGGCACCAGGAAAGCCATGTGCAGGGCAGGGATGCGGCCCTGCTAGAGAAACTATTTATGCCACCCTGACATCGGTCCTAAATGCACTAGCAAAGTGAATTTTGAAATAAAAATACTCAAATGTTCTCTCTATTCTGCATGTTCTAATGAAATTGACTTTTACAAATCAGTTGGTCATATTTCAAGGGACAGCTTTATTTTATACTTTTATACATTTTATACATACACAGTTAGATCAAAATCACATTTTAATTTGACTTTTCTGTTTAGTTAAAAATAACAACAATAGCTAAATTGTTTTTTTTTGGAGAAAAATAAAATGGAAATTGTACTTAAAAAAAAAAAAAAATACAAAACTGAGCCAGGCGTGGTGGTGTGCACCTGTAGTCCTAGCTACTCAGGGGGCTGAGGCAGGAGGACCACCCAAGCCTTGGGAGGTTGAGGTTGCAGTGAGCTGTGATCATGCCACTGCACTGGGTGAGCTGTGATCATGCCAGCCTGGGTGGCAGAGTGAGACCCTGTCTCAAAAGAAAAAAAAAAAAAAAAAAAAAAAAAGAAGGGCTTTCATAGCTAAAAGCACAGAACTATCAGAAGAACAACTAGTGGGGGCTTCATACATTAAGTCAGGTCAGGGACCCCTTAAGCCACAAAGAGGCCTCTTTGGTTGAGCAGACTCAACATGCAGCCACCCCACTTCTAGCTCCTAACTCACCTTGGAGTGAAGAATGGAGCCATGCCAGGCTTCCCAAACCAGCCCACTGCCCAAACTCTCTGATCACTGAGGCTCCCACCAGAAGCCTATGCCACACACCTCCTTCTTGTCCTTGGATTTGTCAGTCTCCTTCTTGAGCAGCTCCACACGCTGAAAAGACTCTCTGCTATCTGTGCTGTAGACCAGGACGTAGCCATCAGTGCAAGAGAAGCAGTGTCGGGGCAGTTCGGCCCCATCTCGGAGCCCTCGGGTGTCGTAGAAACGCACCTGCTCTCGCACCCCTCGGTCTGTCTCAATGGAGCCCACGTAGATGTCTTCCTGCGTCTCGATCATCTCTGAACCCACCACGTGGTTCCCATACAGAAGCTGCTCCAGGATTGAAGTTTTGCCCACAGACGCCTGGCCACACACGACCACCTTGCAGCTCTTCCCCATGCTTGGTTTTCAACCTCCCGGGGCCCCCGCAGCACCAAGACGGGCCCTCGGAGCGCGCGGGGACCAGGGGAGGGGAAGCGCCGCCGCACAGGATCCAGTCTTCCTAATAGCTAAATTGTTATTTCCCAAATGAGAAACTTTACAAACTTGAGGGACCTCTGCCCATGGATCAGATGATATGTCGCACCTTCATTTTATTCATATCAAATGTGATTACCAACCATCGGGAGCGTTTTTTCATAATATTCCTTCTAGAAAATCCAGCCTAAGTCCCAAAGCTTTAATTTAAAACAGTCTGTCTGCATTATGAACAGGAAATAATGCATCCTTCTGAAATGACAACGTTCACTTACTCTCTCTTTTTTGGAGTAGAACTGATCAAGAACAACATTTGCTAATTGGTAAGGTCAAGATATCTTTATTTGCAGGATGAATGATGAAATATCCGAGACTTAAAAATAGTAATAAGAACATAGTTTTAAAGGTACCTAAAAGAATATACTAACTTCTTGTAGAATTTTCTATTTTGAAAGTAAAGTGCATTTTCATTGATGACAGATATTTTTCTTAATCATCTTGGTTAGGAAACCGTACATTTAAACATGTGTGTTAAATACCTTCGATATTATGGATGAAGACAGTTGCACATTGTCTGTGGGATGCAGAGCCCCTTCTCAGCTAAATGCTAGGCCTGGTCTCTGCAGGGGATGACTTTCTTGTGCCCACCTGCCCCCTCACCTGTGCCCATCAGTGCCTTCTGAAATGTGGGGCAGGTGAGTTTGCAGTGCCTCCAGATGTGCTTCCAGAGCAGCCCCTGCAGTGTCGGGGCACAGGAAGATTGCTGGCACTGAGTCCGAATTTGGGATGCATGAGTTCACATTTCTCCAGGTACCAGCTGTGAGTGACCCTCCTGCGTAAGGTAGGGCGATAGTAGTTACCTGTGGTAAGGCTGCTATGATAATGCACAAGAAGACCTTCGCGCCATACCTGGTGGGTGATTAGCTCTTAATGACTGCTGCTACTCTTTCGAACATTTTAATTGTTGATAATTTTTTTTTTGTTATTGTTAGTATGGTTAATAATTATCAAGCAGCAGTACTTCAGGCTTGTGATTATTCTTATACTTTATTCTTAGTTATTTTTTTCAACTTTCTAGAGGAATCCAATGGTTTACTCTGTTGGTTCCTTGTGCTACAATCCTAGTAAGACCGGGAAGCAGAACCATGGAAAACTGGAGCATAGTGCGAACGGGGAGGCAAAACTGGAGTTACACAAGAAAGACTGCAGAGCCACGGACCCAGAGAAGTGGGTTAGAACAGCGGGCTGGGTGCAGTGGCCTATGCCTGTAATCCCAGCACTTGGGGAGGCCAAGCCTAGAGGACCGCTTGAGGCTAGGAGCTCAAGACCAGCCTGGGCACCATAGGGAGAAACCATCTCTACAAAATATTTAAAAAACAAAATAGCCATACATGGTGGTGCACGCCTATAGTCCCAGGTACTCGGGAGGCTACGGCAGGAGGATGGCTTGAGTGCAGGAGCTGGATTAGTGGGGGCCATCAGGCAGCATTACGTGAGCTTCTCTTATCATGATAGGTGAACAAGAGACTTATATAAGAGGGCCACCCTATGAAAGATACAGGCTAAATAGACAGTATTATATTCAATTCCTTCTATTCCTGATTTTTAAATGTGCACACAGAGATGACTTAAATTATATCATGATGTCCATAATCACACATGATAGCCCTAGTCACATATCTGGAAGCAGTGTCGCAGACAAGAAAGCTTTTGTGGTACAAAGGTGTCGTTGGGTAGTTGTTACGGAGACTGCATGCCCCACAAAGCCAGGTTAGCTGGTCCTTCACAGAAAACATTTGCCCACCCTGTACTAGGTGCCTGGCAAGGTGGTCTTCTGAAACTTTGCTTGCTCTCTCTTCTCCTTTTTCCCTCCTCTCTTCTCTCTTTACTTTCTTTACTTCTCCTGCAACTCTTGAGAAATACTTAAAAAAAAAAAACAAAAAAAAAACACTCCATTAATAAAGCCTGTCAGCACAATAGGGAAATCTCTGGAAGAAGAGACTCCAGAATGTTAGCAACAGGTACCCTTCACTAGGGGATGAGGGGTGATTTTTTTCCTCTTTCTTATTTTGTTTATCTCTATTTTCTAATTTTTCTTCCAGGAACATTTAAAAGCTGAGTAATTAAAACAGCAAGCAAATAAGAAAGTCTTGTCATCAGCAGTAGTGTCAGGCTTATTGATAACAGTCTTAGTTATGAGTGAAGGGATTGGAATGTAATTAGCCTGCTCCATGAGAAGATTATCTGTAATTATGAGATGCTGCCAAAGCCCCTTTGCTGGCCCTGTAATCATGAGACTCAGAAGATGTTCTGGAGCAGTTATTGTTGAACTTTTTTTCTCCAGGATGACACACTTGAAGGATAGAAGACCTCTTGAGTCACTGAACAGGGAGGAACATTTAAAAGCCTGTTGCACCCATCATTTCCAGAAAGAGTGATATTTACAATATTTAATAACCTATTCACAACAGGTGTCAGGCCATCAGAGGGTTTGTCTATTATGGGTGCAGCCTTACTGGCAGGTGCCTGCTGGGGATAGTCCTGAGACCACTGGGATGTTTCTCTCAGGGTGTCCACCCTAGGGAATGAGGAGAATGACCCTGAGGAGGCCACACCTTTGCCCAGCACATCTCTAACCACCTGAAATTGGGTGGACTCATTTATTTTTCAATTGACTAGTTTCCTTGGTTCCCAAGGCCCCATCATTCATGCCTCCAAAGAATATTGATCAATTACCTTCTACCTGCACTCTCTAGTGTGGGATGTAAAGAAGTAGCACCCATGTCCTCCCCACTGGAGCAGAGTCTCAGTAGGGAAACCGAGTCACGTGGGAATCATTAGGCAAATGGTGTTTAGAGCCTGTCTCAGTCTTGCTGCAGTTGCACCCTGGATGCCTGGGTCTGAGGTACCTCTTAGTGTTGCTATGGGCACTCCTTGAAGAATGTGTAAAACCTCTCTTCCCAGTACACGACACTTTGCCTGACTCTCAAATCCATTTTCTCATTTAAGAAAGTTGCCTTAATTATTCATAGGCTCAACCAAGGGTAGTGAAAAAAGGCCATCTTGAAAGATGTATCTTTTAACCATCACAAGGCACATTTTATGAGTATAAAATATTTATAAAACTGCTCCATTTTAGTGATACGTGGTAGCTAGCTCTGGTCGATGTGTTTCTCCCCGCGTTCTGCCATGCATCTGTGTTGCTGGACACACACACAGCCGAGCAATTTTCCCTCTGGGTATCCTCTTCACTCTCATGCACAGTGACACTGAGGACCTGAGCAGGCTCCCCTCACCACGGAAGGGGGAAGCTGCCTGCATGAGCACAGCGGGATGGAAGGGGGCCTGGGCCAAAACTCCCAGGCAGGACCCAAGTCCCCACCCCTTGCAGGCATGACAGGCAGGCACCCCCTTCCTCTCTTAGAACATCTTGTGTAAAGAGTTTCTGGGTCTACTTCACAGAGTTATCATGGCTACTACAAAGTATAATTCAAATGTGAGCTGTTATGATTGATACAAATACTAATACTGATTTTCCGACCAGAAGAAATGAATAAGAATCAAACTATTCATGAATCAGGAACACCAGAAGACATTGCCCTCTAGCGCCCCACCATCTCTGCGATCTGCTTCTTCCTCCTCATATTCCTGCTCCCACAGTCTCCTAGACAGACCAGCCCTTGGTGCCTTCCAGGGCACTGTGATGTTGGAACACAGATGTGTCCTGAAGCAGGACCCCCACCCTTTGACTCTCTCATGGTGTTCTAGTGTCTTCACAGTGCTTATTATGGTGGAAAGTTACCCTGTGCTATGGTGTGAACATGCTCCTCAAAGTTCACATGTTGACAACTTAATCTCCAATGCACGAGTGCTGGGAGGTAGGACCTTTAGGAGGTGAAGAGGGGTTCATGCCATGATCAGTCGTCTTGCCCGTCTGCATTCCTTCGTGGGCTGGTGCAGCAAGAAGGCCCGCACTAGATGGCCTCCTCTCGATTTTGGACTTCCCAGTCTAGAACTGTAAGAAATAAATCTCTGTTCTTTATAAATTACCCAGTCTCAGTTAGCCTGTTACAGGAACACAAATGAACTAACACATCCTATGCTGTGTTTTTCTTTCCATGGTTGTTTCACATCTGTCCCTAGTAGAACATAAGACCCCTGACAGCTGGGTGTTGGCCAGCCAAGCCTGCATGACATGCTCTGCACACAGCAATTAGAACACATGCCCATGTTACCTTCTGATAGCCAGCCCACACTTCAGTGTGATGCTTCTCTAATTATGGTAACCAGGCTCATCCTTGCTCAGGAGCTCAAAATGGTTCCCTGTTGCTTATTGTTTCTAAGCTAAAGGCCTCTTCCTAGCTGCCTGGTCTCTCATCACATTCTGCTCTGGCCATGCCACCTTGGGGGCCACTTAACCTCCCACGCTGCCCCCACTGCATTGCTACTGCCTTCTAGGGTCCACTTGGCACTCTTTTGTTTCACCATTGTTGGTGTAATAGATTTCCTGATGACTGTTCTCAAGCCTTGTCTGCCCAACCTCGGTGAAAATATCTTAAGTACATAGCCTTTGTATTTTTATTTTCCCTCTTGAGACACCTTGCACATAAAATCCCTTAAACACAATAGGTACTCAGTAAATGCCTGTTGACAGATGGACTTAGACATAGCGTTTAGGTTTATTTGTTTGTTTGGGAGAAAGAGGTTAACAGGGCTCAGACTCTAAGAGCATTTTTTTTTGTTCATAGTGCAGCCATGGTTTTGAAGCTCCCAGCAGCAAATTGCCACCCACACTTAAGAAAAACAGATTTCTGTACATTTAGGGGGAAAAAAGCACTGCTGCTTTCAATGCAGCCAGCTATATTTCATGCCAGTGGCATGTTGGAAATAAAGAGAAACAGCAGAGGCCCAGCAAATGCCTCTAGTTCCTCCTCATTTCTGAATTCTCTATCAGCACTGACATCTGGCAATAGAATATTACTCCAACAGCAATGATATGAAAAGAGCATCAGAGACAAGGTTGCT